GTCCCCCAAGCCCCGCCTGCGCGGCTTCCTCCACGCCGTGCCCATCATCGCCCGCGAGCGCGGCATCCGCGGCTTCTTCCAGGGCTTCGTGCCCACGACGGCGCGGCAGGCGGCCAATAGCGCCACGCGCTTCGGGTCCTACACCTTCCTGAAGCAGTTGGCGGAGAGCTACACGGCCCCCGGAGAGAAGCTGGGCACGGCGGGGACGTTCGGCATAGGCGGTCTGGCGGGGCTGATAACGGTGTACGTCACGCAACCCTTGGACACGATCAAGACGCGGATGCAGAGCATCGAGGCGAGGCAGAACTACGGCAACTCGTTCCGGTGCGCAGCCATCATCTTCAAGCAGGAGGGGGTGTTGACTTTTTGGTCGGGGGCGCTGCCGAGGTTGGCTAGGCTCGTGATGAGTGGTGGGATTGTGTTTACTATGTATGAGAAGAGTATGGAGTTGATGGATAGTGTTGATCCGGAGAGGAGGTATTTGTGATAGAGGAATGGGAAGCGATGCGGGCGTTAGGGGATTTGCTGTTGTTGTAGTATGGGTTGCATATATCCTGTTCTTGTCTGGTAGAGAAAAGGTCGAGCGTGATAATACAGGGTAGACTTTTGTACATTGGAGAGTGTGCGGAAGCTCCTTTTCCGTGCCAATAACGCCTTCGTATGCAAAGTATTGTACAAGCGGGTATAAAGAACAAAATCTAGCGGCGCCAGATCATGCCTTGAGCCTGATCAACCCTCCCAGTTTCTTCCCTATCCTCCCGAACCACGACCGGGTGGGTGCCTCTTCCAGCTCCTTCATGAGGTCGGTGTAGTGTGTCGGGTTGCTCTTGGGCTTCATCAAACTTCCTGATATCCGGTACTGCGACAGTGTCAGTGGGTGTGGCTCTCGAAGGGGAGAGGTAGTGGCTGCGCACCGTGCTCTTGTATCTGTTCTCCAACAGGGAATACAGGGCATTGACCTGCTTGATCTGCGCCTCCGTCGCGGTTCCTCCCGCCTGCGCGAGCTCCTTCTCTATTCGTTTGCCGACGACATCGTGGAGCTGGCAGTCCGGGCGGAGAGGATCCCGGGGCCACTTTGCGAGGGCTTCGGTGAAGGTTCGGTAGACGACCTGTTGCGGTACAGTTAGCAGTGGTATCGAGATAGAAAGGAGGGAAGCTACATACACTCCTAGCTGGGCCCGACATGTTGTAGATGCTGCATTATCCTCGAGGACGTTGTGGCTGCTCCGTCGCGAATGTCATCGTCACTTTCGATGCGCTAACAGATGGAATCTCAAATTCCATGCGCCACTTTTAGTCAGCCACAGAAAAACGAATGTGGCTAATGATTGGCTCGGCTAGCAGTTGAGGTACGTACCGTCTCATAGTAGTGGAGTTCGGCCGATGTCCACAACATTTCCACCTGGCGTTGTCAGTCCCATTCGTCAGCCGGCAGTAGCGCCAACAACGGATCAGGCGGCGGCGCAGCAGGAGAGTCCCTTGGAAACTCTGGAGTAGGTTGCGGACTGGACAGACCCTCGATTGCTTCATCATTCTTCATTCAACCCCTTCAATCCAAAGCATCTTCACTTCTCTTTCTTGCACTGCGCTCCCTTTGTTCCTTGGAGTTCTACATACTCTCCTTCCTTATTTCCTACGACTACCTTACACATTCGATTAAGACGGAATCATCGACCCCAATCTTATCTCCGACACCGACTTGAGTGGCAACAAGGGGGCAGATTCATTCGGTCTGTTGACCGCGAAGCCCATCTCGACCGCTAACACGATGGCGGCTCGCTATGAGAGGGTATGTAGCCATACTATCAGTCTGATATGGCTATTACAGAGACTAACATATTGATTACAGGTCAATACCCACGACGAGAACGAACCTACCACTCCCACCGCTCCCCCGCCAAGCCAGAACGATGCCATACCCAACTCTCCACCGCCATCCTTCCACTCCCGCTCATCATCAATATTATCAACAGAAAGGCACACACCGGTAGACTCGACACTGGCGGACGCGTTCGACACCGAGGGCGACGATAGCGAGGACGAGTCTGATGACAGGCAGCGGTTGGTCAGGGGAAACTCGTCACCGGTCAGCTCCAACGCGGCAGAGGCGGGGAGCAATGGAAACGAAACAAGGGCGGCGCCGACGACAGCGCCTGCGAGGCAGGTAGTGCAGCAGCCGGGCGGACCAGCGACGCCGTTTAGGGTGTATGGCGGCGGCATCCAGTCCGACGGCGTGTTCTCGAACCTGGCGGCTAAGCCTGAGGTGGGCACGGCTGAGAAGGAGGAGCAGCCACCGGTATGTCCTCCCTTACACTTTCAATACGTTCACAGGCAGACTCAGCGCTAACGGACAACAGACCTACGAACAGGCGGCAGCGGACCAAGCACCCCCCTACTGGGAAACCACCATCCTCGCCCCGGGCCTCGGCGGCCCAGACGATGTCTACATCGACGGCATGCCCGTCGGCTCCTTCTTCTCCTTCGTCTGGAACGGCATGATTTCCATGTCCTTCCAGCTCGTCGGCTTCCTGCTCACCTACCTCCTGCACTCCTCGCACGCGGCCAAGAACGGTTCTCGCGCCGGGCTGGGCGTGACGCTCATCCAGTACGGCTTCTACATGAAGAACACGGCCAGCTCCGGGTCGGACGACATGTCCGGCCAGGGCGGTGGGGATGGGTACGCCACCCCGTCCGACCCAAACGCGCACGACTTTGACCCCAATGCCGTTACCGCTGGCGGAGATGCGTCTGGGGGTGGCGCGGGGGATATTGCTGGGAGCGAGTGGGTTGCGTATCTGCTGATGATCGTGGGGTGGTTTATACTTATCAGGGCGGTGAGCGATTACCTGAAGGCGAGGAGGCATGAGCAGTTGGTTCTGCAGAGTCCTGATCGGGGGCTGGGGGTTCCTATTATTGCTGAGGGAGAGAGGTCTGAGACGGTGGTATAGACCTGAGTCCTGCTTGAGCGTTGTTTTGCGTATGAATTCCTGGGAATGGGGCTGGAATGCTCTTGTTTTCGGGCGACACGGGCGATATCTTCGCGGTTTCTTTGCTTCGTTGTTTGGCGTACGGTTTGAACGATATATGCTCAACTCCTGGGTGTTGGTCGATAGTAGGCAGCGATTATGTACCTACCGAGCTGTCTGGCCAAACCCACGTCGTGTCACGTCACCTTACCAAGTGAGATGTTGATCTTTGCCATCAGCAACAACCTGGAAACGTTGAGACTCGTTGCCAATCCGTGCGCCTCCACAAAGACTATCACGCAACCTTCATGAGGGGCTGGCGGGGTAGCTTCCTCAGATCAACGTCACTCCCCGATCACATGCACCACTTACACCAACCTTAAACCACCTAGTATCCGATGTGTTTGCCCGACGTTGCGACTTTCAAAGCCGCCTTTGCCTCATATTAGGCATTGCATACATGAGTTTCCGCAGCCAAAGAGCACAATCTTTCTACACCTCTCCGCCTAACCGAACACTAAGGCTGCGTGCAAGTTCTTGACTTATACACGTCTCGGAGCTATCTCCTGCTTCCTCCTTCAACAACCACATCAACCTCAGCTTGCCCACCGACCTCACCTAGCAACAAACCTGGCACGATTCGAGCGCTACCTCTGCGGCCTCCTCAGCCTCTTCCCCCAGGTCGGACGAACAAGCCATAAGAACGTCCACCAGCACAGCTTCAACATAATGGCCTGGCGCAGCTCCGGCGCCACCAACCGGGACCTGATCGAGAACCTCTGGAACAACAAGCTCATCAAGGATACCCGGGTAAAGGAGGCGTTTCTCAAGGTACTTACCTCCCTTCCTCTATCTAGTCCCCACTCGCCTTACACTCTTTACCTTCCCTTCTGCCTTCCTCCCACCTCCCTCCCCTCTTGCAGCTCATACCAGTGCAGTCACTAATTAGTACCCCCAAGGTCGACCGCGCCCACTACGCCCCCTCCCACCCCTACGACGACCGCCCGCAATCCATCGGCCACGGCGCCACCATCAGCGCCCCGCACATGCACGCCTGCGCCGTCGAGTCCCTCCTCCCCTACATCCTTCCCACCGCCAGCAACCCGGCGCCCCGCGTGTTGGACATCGGTTCCGGCTCGGGCTACCTGACGCACGTCCTCGCCGAGCTGGTCGGCGACAGCGGCACCGTCGTCGGGGTGGAACACATACCGCAGCTCGCCGCGCTGGGGGAGGGGAACATGGCCAAGTCCGCGGAGGGGAGGGAGTTTTTACGGACGGGGAGGGTAAAGTTTCGGGTTGGGGATGGGAGAAAGGGGTGGGTTGAGACGGAGGGGGAGGTGAGGGGGGAGGAGGAGGACACGGTGCGGGAAAGGGGGATGGGCTGGGATGCTATCCATGTCGGGGCGAGTGCGGTGGAGGTGCATGATGAGCTTGTGCGGCAGCTGAGGGCGCCGGGGAGGATGTTTATCCCCGTTGATGATGATGAGAGTCGGTTTGAGCAGCATATTTGGACTGTGGATAAGGATGGGGAGGGGAGGGTGGAGAGGAAGAGGTTGTTTGGGGTTAGGTATGTGCCTTTGACTGATGCGCCTAGGGAGTAAGGGAGGGGAGTGTATAGGGTAGGTGATGGGTGGAAAGGGAAGGGAGGGGATGGCGTTGGCATGGATTCAGTTTGCATGTTATCCACAGTGACATGGGAGTTGTTTGTAGTCGATGGTGTGGCTCAAGTGTCACACATAGTTGTCTCAGGTGGCCGAGGTCGTTGTCTCGAGATTCGGATCCTATTCAGAAACTAAAATAAAAAAAAGAAACCTTCTACTTACTTCCATCCGAGATAATGCGTTAACTCTGCCTTACTTTGTGTCACACAGCCTATCCAGTTCTTGAAAAATGCTATCTCTCAACTGCCACAATCTTCTCCAAGCGCCGTCCCCGTCTTGCTAGTCATCTGGTGGCTTCCCTGACGCAGCAGACTCTCCCATCTCGTCAACAAAACCACGCGACAGCTTTATACCTGTCAACACGGGCAAAAAGCTTCCCCTCGCAGGCTTGAACTGCGGACCTCTCGATTAACAGTCGAACGCTCTAACCAACTGAGCTAAGGAGAAGATGCTCGTTTTCAGACGGATGGTCTGATTCGATGGTGGACGGGGTTCGTATCGGGGTTGAAGAGAGGAGAGCGAAAGTTTGTCCATCCACTTGTGACTTGACTGACTCGCTCCTCTGGCGTCTGTGCCCGGGCCCGATGAAGGAAACACGGCCGGGACTTACACGACTCACGCACAACCCATCCTCTCCACCAGCCGGCCGGGAAGACTCGTGTTTGCGGAGAGCGAAAACACCAAACACCAAAGGTTAGATGGCCGAGCGGTCTAAGGCGCTACGTTAAGGTCCCATAACCCTTAAAACACAACAAATCTGTTATCCGTAGTCCGAAAGGGCGTGGGTTCGAATCCCACTCTAATCATTCTCTTTTGGCTCTCTGGACTCTGGTGTGTGATGACAGTCTGGGGGTTGAGGGAGGGGGGGATGTCATTTTTGCTTGGGGTTGAAGGTTGTGTGGTGGCTGGAGGCTGGAGAGTATCTCGATCTGTGTTTTGGTTTGAGGGATTGCCTTTTTGTTGGTCTGCTGGAGCTGGCTGACTGTCTCAATCTTTTGATGCAATATCTCTGTCCATCTCGAAGCCAGTGGTCTGTACTCCTTGGGGGTTGATGTTGAAGGGTGCTTTAATCTTCCCTTGGTCAAGACAATGGGACCCTATTCTGTTCATCTGATGGGATGTATTGACCGTTCAGCTTGGGGCTAGCCATCTGTGAATATCTCGGAGCACATGGTTCCTAACACTTGCTGCTGGGCAAACCACTTTCGTCGTAGGCATCTATATGGCCATTCTTCGTAGGGAACAGTTCTGTTTAGTCGAGAATTGTCTCGATGTTGTCGAGGACACCACTCTTCTCGTCAAGACAGGATTATCCTTTTCACATAACCGTGCTGTTTCCGTTGGGAAAGTGTTCTCGGTAACCCTGGAGCGTTGTTCAGGCAGATGCCCTTCCCGGGCATCGAGACTCGCCGAAGCTTGTGCCACAACAAGCGACCGTACTTCTTGAACGCGTTCGCAATTGCCTCCTGTCTGCCTCCCTTCATCTGGTGCGTTTCTCTGGCAAGGGACACAGTCTTCCGAGACAACATCAACCCCTTCCGCGAGTCAAACTCGCTCTTGACCTAGGGAGAAGGACATCCATTGTTGGTAAGCCTTGAGTCCAGTACCGCGACCGGCCCAATCATCGAAACCGCCGAACTCCGTGCCCGGACCATACGTCCTTTTTTATCGCCTGCCATAGACCGGCGGCCGCGCAGCTTGCGTGGGAAGCCCTTGGCATTGTCATGGTCTAGATTTTGGGCCTCGGCCTCGAAAGCTTCCTTCTTAACACGCACTTCTCGTCGTCGTTGCAGTCCAAGAATGTTGTCGAAAAGCCCGGGACCGTCACCGCAGCCTCATCCCTAAGGATACGCTCAGGCACATGCAACTATAGATGCCGATAGTATTCTCGATGGCCTTCTGCCTGTCCTCCTCCGTCTGATGAGTGTTAGGAGACACATCCAGCTCCCTCCAGCACGATTATTGCACTGCGCCGGCAACAGGACCAGTTTGGCTTCACAGCCTCTCAGTTCCAGTTACTGTCAGCAGGGGAAAAATACGAGTTTTTCTGGAGGCCATCGTCACGTCGACGTGGCCGACCCCTAGCAGGAAGAGATAAAGGATGCAGAAGGCCACAAGTTCTTCAGGGTGAATGTTTTTAAGACGATGTGCGATCAGCCAGGGCAGTGGCCCGAGTGCTCGAAGTCCAGAGTGGATCCATAATCCTCTTCTGATTGGCCACTCAAGCTCGACAGTGATGTGGAGAGCTGTCTCACGACGGGAAACCTGGAAAGTCTTGGCAACCACGAGGTGAGATCCACTCAAACATTCAACATCCAACACAGCTCAGCCACACGTTGAGACGAATTCCCTGATCTTCACTTGTCTGAAGTTGCACAGCGGCTGAGAACCGAAAGCCTAGACTGCAAACGGGCAAGTCTTTGTGTCCAGCAAGCCAAAAATAACTCTACCGCCAGCAACACACGCACGACAGACACACAGCCTCTGCCAGCTGACGACTTTCACGGCTATTCGAACTTGCCATGTCCAGATCTGGAACAACAGAGGAGTGAATGTCCCAGTACCACGAGAGTGATGAGGACCACTACCATCTGATACCCGGCTATTGTAGCCAGCTGTTTTGGCCATCATATCTATCTGTTGAAGGACACACACTTCACTCCGTCATCATCCGTATTTGGGGCATGGCTGATTACTGTATCCATTCACTTGCCGATCTCACCTGGTCTGCCTGCGACACACATACGCATCCGTACCAACTTCGTCTCTATCGCCGACTATTAGAACTGGCCGAACTACCTATCGGCTCTCCGAGGCAACGGCGTCGTAGCTGGCGTTCGGCATGCAAACTCCGGGCAAGATGGCCGGCCAGGTTGAAGCTCGGTCGATGTCAGACCTCAACGAGCTTGCAGACAACCCACCACAATACCCCGTGAACCCAGCCGAGGTCCCCCGGGAGTCTATTACTCTCTATATATCCAGAGTACCGGGCTCAAGAGGTTTGTGTGTCGATATCCTGGGCCCAGTCTGTCATTGCTAACCGATATCTAGATGTCATTCTCTGTCCCCTGAGGCCCCAGGTCAAGAACGTTACTGGCGGAGATGTCATTCATTCTCTATACTATGTTCACCTCGATCTTCCCTCGGACGAGCAACCACCCGTGCCAAAGCCTCCAGTAGAGAGGAGCAGCCCGCAGACATCAATCCCGAGGAAGCCTTTACCGAGCAACTCAAAGGTTGCCCCTTTGGACGATCAATCTCCTGGGGGGCTGACATCACCGCCTCAACCAGTTGCACCGCTCCCAGTGCATCCAGCCGTCCCAGTGCATCCAGCCGTCCCAGTGCATCCAGCCGTCCCAGTGCATCCAGCCGTCCCAGTGCATCCAGCCGTCCCAGTGCATCCAGCCGTCCCATCGCTCCAAGTTCCCGCTCCTGGACAGCAAGACACTCTCTACGATGCTCCGATACTTAACCAGCCTGCACCTACCTCATCCTACCAATCTGCTACAGCGAAGCCCCTCGGGCCACGACCCATGGGAGGCCCACCCGTACCGACGCGAGACGACCATGTTCTCTCGGCATCTCCCCCGCAAGTACCGCTAAGTGCGCCAGCTCTCCCACTAAGAGGGCAAGGACCAGCGGCGTTCCACACTCGTCGACCCTCAACCTCAGAGTCGGGTCATCACGCCGCACCATTCCCGCTCCTCCGGTCTCTGTCGCCGACCAAACCTCATCATCGTCCGACATTCACACCTTACACGCTTACTCTAATCCGTCGACACCCGACGTCGGGTGATCAGAAGAACGTTGCCCGCATAACCTCCTTCCAGACCAACATTCCTACGCCTGACATGGCCGACCCAACATTGTCCCCGGACAATATGCCCCGTCCCGAGCCGCCTGCAGTCCACATCCGCATCGACACATTAGGATACATGAAATTTGGCAACTGGCCCACTCGAGCGGCGCTGGACAGGTTTGCAGCAGAGGGGAATCTCAACTTGAAGCCCGGGGAGTCAATCGTCGATGGGCCTGGACGACGGAGTAGGGGCACATCCTTCAATATCCCCCAGCCGGTCGAACAAGGATTTAACCGGCAGGTCAAGATGGCGTACGCAAAGACGTGGACATCCAACATCAAGAGCGCTTTCCATATACGGCAGAAGAGTCACAGTGTCAGTCACGAACGTCGTCACAGTGAGACTGATGAGCTACTATACGCAACCGACGATCTTGCACCTCCGAGGGCGCCGGCTATGATGCAAGGTGTTATCCAGGGCCATCGGCGGCAAGTCAGTACAGGCAGTACTGGAAGCGGAGAGTCACTTGGCTCGGTTTCTGGACGACCGGGATCGTCCGGGATGCACGCAGGGAGGTCGTCCATGGGAGATATCTTTGGCAAGTCGCCTACCTCACCATCTTCCCCGGTCATAACCCAAGCTGGGCCCGGGCTGAAGCCGAAGGGCTACGTTTTTGCTTCGCCATGGGATGGACGGTGCGAGTTTCGCACAGGCAGAGGTGGCAGAAGTCTCGAATTAAGGCATGTGCTTGGATCGTCCAGCGCTGGGTTCGAGACGGCAAGCGAGGGACACGGCGGAACAGGCACCAAACCGGTCAGCGAGCTGAGGTTTAACCTCCCTGGCAGCAGTGAGGGAGGCGTAACATCGATACCCAGCCAAGGCCATGGAAGGCGCAGCTTTCACGGAAAGTTTGACAAGCTGCTGAAACTGGACCCGAGGTATCGGCAGGACAGCAGCGACGAGTATGACGAAGAGGATGCGCCACTGGACCTGAGTCTGGGTCGCGAGAGAGCAGGTGGCGGAAGCAAGGGAAACAGGGCGAAGCTGGGAAAGCTGATTATCCATGACGAGGGCCAGAAGATGATGGACCTGGTGGTGGCTGCTAATATCGGGGTGTGGTGGGCCACCTGGGAGCGGGCGAGTGCGTAATGGGAGCATGCGACTGCGACTGTTATAATGAGACATGAAGATAGCTAGATACCACTTTAGAGGACGGAATGCAGATTACTTATCGCGCATCACACCACATCCAACATTGGAGTAAAAGTCAATTTACTGGAAACGGTCGTCATGAAGGTGCCACGTGACTTATCCCGTGCTCTCGGTTAACGGAGCTGCCCAAGCTCCACACCCAATCAGCAAGCGTCTTTTGTAATCTGCCAGCTGCAGCCGGCCCCAAGCTCTCGAATTCCCGAAAGTCACAACGGCAAAAACAACGTCAGAGCTTCGTCGTCGTCTTTCGGAGCGCTGCATCTCGCCTCCCAACGAACCAGACCTCCTCATTGTCTACCCCGCCCAAAGCCAATACCGCGCGCTCGAGGCAAGGCTACGGCTTTACGACTGAGCTCTCTGTCCTTTCCCTCTCGACCAAACCACCTCCAGCACCGCACGCCGCGACAAATACCCCTCGACAACTCGACACAGAGC